CCTCAGCAGACTCAGCAGGGACAGAAAGGAGCTCCAAGCTGCTTAGCTGGGTCACCAGGTGGCCCTGTGAGGGTGGCATGGGAGAGACAAATCAGAAATCAGGTATCACACTAGGCTGCACCATTAGCAACCGAAGTGCTTTCTAGGTTCCAGCAAACCTGGACGGTGGCTCAGTGGCTGCTCCCAACAGGGCCTCTAGAATTCTGCAAGCATCCCAGAGACTGCAAGACCATGTCCCCCAGGACACTGAGCATCCTGGGAAGTGGTTTGTCACAGGCTGAGGAAGCCCCATGTGAGGCCACTCAGTGTCCTACCACCACCGCTTGATAGATGTGTTAAGGGGCACGTGCCTGGTCCAGCAGCCAGGAATGGACAGGGCTTCCGAGACAGCAGGGTCCCAGGGGACAGACCCGGCCACTCTGGAATGACCAGCCACAGAAACAGCTGAGTGGATGCAGAAAGACTCCCAAGGAGTAGGCCAGCAGTGAGGCAGAGAGGGACAGGGACACCTCAGGTGAGGGGCCAGGCTGAGGTGTGCAGTGGTGCAGGAAGGACCAACAGAAGCAAGGAACGAGCTGGCCTTAATCACTTCTGCCTAGCAGGGACCCCAGCCCCAACACCAGGGGACATCCTAAAACCAGCCAAATTAGGAGCAAACATTTGAAACTGAAAGGTCGAATGTCCCAGGCCAAGGTGTTCCAGTACCTCAAACACGGGGCTTTTCCAAATTCCATCCCTGAAGGAAGACAACTGAGGAGATCAAGAGAAAGGGGTGGAGCAGAAACAAGGGGGAAGTGCCCAACGCCACTGTCAACTCACAGATGCCAGGACAGAGAAGCAGAACCTGGTGTTAGCGTGGGTTAGTGCTCTGTGGAGAAGGTTGAGGACCTTCCTCCTCCTGCCACTGAGCCAACGTCAGGAAAAGTGTCAGGCCATCCACGCAGAATCCCAGAAGCCCTTCCCGGAGCAGCCCGGAGACACCCAGCCAGGTTTGCCGAGCCCAGAAAGAGCTTCATAGCTAAGGGTGCAGGCCAGTGATCCAGGAGACGGCCCGAAGCTGCCACCTGCAGCACACCCTCCAGGGTGGGCACAGGGGGCCAGGTGCATCCCAGGACCCCACAATGCCAGGGACCTATGGAGGGGGATCCCTGAGGACCACCCCAGCTCTAAGGCAGAGTCACACTATAAGGCTCCCTGGCCCTGCCGAGCAGCCCACCATCACCTGCTTTATAAGGTGGCACTTTTTTATGGGTTTATTTGATTTAAAAAAAAAAAAAAAAAAAGGAACCTAGTTTAAAAAGAAAAGTGTTCTGGGCTGGGGACACACTCAGTGGCAGAGTGCTTGTCTAGCATGTGGGGGGCCATGATTCATCCCCAACAGAGGGAAAGGAGAGAGCAGAGCAGAGCAGAGCAGAAGCTACAAGGCTGCAGAGGGCCACGCTGGCACCCGGTTCAGGAAAGCCACCATGAACACTCAGGGTCTGGAGAGGTAATGGCCACCTCAGGCCCTGAGCAGCTCTGCGCAAGGCAGCTCCGGAGGTGCCTCTGTGGGGCTCTGTGAGGGAGCGCCACCACCGTGGGGTGAAGCCACTTAACCCACATGAGAAGAGGCAGCGGAGTTCTGCCAGCTTTATTTTTGGAAAAGGCATCTGGCAGAGCAGGAGCACCGCGGAGGGAGCGACCCCGACACGTGCGAGTGCGAAGAGCCTGGGGGAGGCGGCGCAGCCAGGGCTCCAGACAGGAGCTGGCAGCTACTGGGAATCCCAGGCAGGACACAGCCCCGGAGGCAACAGGAGGACGGAACACTCTGTCCAGAGCCGGAGGACAGGGAACCACACAGGACCCTGCCCCTTCCACACAGCCCACCGCAGGATTAGACGAATAGCTAACAGCCTTCACTGAGCAGGCAGGTGCGCAGAGCCAAGGCCACTGATCCCGAGTGACCCAATCCCAGGTGACCCAAGTGACAAGGAGACATCTGAACCAGGATGGGAAGGGACTGGGAGAGGGAGGCCTAAGAAAGGGAGGAGGTGCCCTCTGGCCACCTTCCCACTTACTCCGAACTGTTGTTCTGGCGTGTCTCTGGCCACTGGCACCCATGGGACAAGGACAGGCCTCCTGGGCACAGGCTTTTCCCTAACAACCGCCAGGGCCAGGAACTCCAATCTTTCTTCAGGCCCTGGCAAATGTCCCTTGTACCAGGGAGCCTTCCTGTCATGCAGGCTGCTCTAGAGCCTGTGGGACTGTCACTCTCCACCTAGGACCCCCACTGCCCAGCAAGGCACCAGGACCAGGTTAGCAGGTGTCCCACGTGGGGGCTTGGCCAGCGCTCTGGCCAGATGCCAGGTCCAATCTGGCCCTGCAAGTCACCATCCTGCAGACTCACCTCCCTCCCGCCCACTGCTGCGATCCCAAGTTCAGAGAGGCCCCGTCTCTCGTGGACAGTCTGGGCAGGCTGTTGGCAGTCACAGTGGCAACGGTTGACCCAGTGATCACACCCTCACCAGACACACTTCACTCAACCTCGCTGGCCTGCTTGGCTACTTGTGCCCAAGGGACAACCGAAGGGACAGGGCAGGTGCCAGGAGGTGTGAGGCTGAGGAGGAGGAGAAGAGCATTCCGGGGGCGCGGGGAGCTGCAGAGCCACCCACCCAGGAATGACTTGGCTGATGTGCGGCAGCCACTCCTATTCTGGTTTTTGCCACGCAATTTTGAACTCAAATTCACCAAAATCTGAACGCACATCCTGAGCAAAACAGTGATGTGTAGTCCCCCGGCTGCGTTTTCCCCAAGCCGTCTGCCAACTTGGCCTTCCTCCTGGGCTGAGCTCACACTGCGCTGCCCATCTGATCTCTGTCACGGTCGCCTCTGCCTGGAGAGGGTGGGGAGGGAGCCAGAGTCTGGTCTTTAAAGTGGTAACACCTGTCTGTCACTGGTCATCTCTCAGGCCTGAGGAGAGGCTGACACTGCCCACAGGACAAATCATGGGGTCAGCAAGTCACCACAAAACACAGCCTGTGAAGCCTCCAGGCTGCAGCCTCGCTACAGCCCAGTGCAAACCAACCCCAGGCTGTTGTGAGGAATGCCTGCTCTGTGTCACCCTCCACAGGGACCTGTCTCAGACAAGTCCAGGTGACAGGCCCGGAGGTCCACAGAAGTCCTGCAGCTCTGAGTATCCAGCAGTTGGCTAGCCTGGGGTCTGTGACTCCCACCTGCAAGAGACCCCTCGGTGCCCAGTTCCAACAGTGGAGCTCCTTTGGAGCAACTTGTGCCTCAACTCTTCTGGGACACAGAGCTGTGAAGGGACGGGTCAAGCAACTGGACGTCTGCACCCCCAGGCTCACAGCTGAACCCCAGTGGGCAACTTCTTGATGCTCAGGGGCCAGAGGGCAGGAAATGTTGGGACATCTGGGAACTGAAGCCACCACCAGCCCTTCCTGTCACTCCACCGTGGGCCTTCATCGCCACCTGCCTTCACTGACCCGGCAGTACCTGTGACTCTACCAGCAAGGCTGTGTCAGAGGAGTGAGGAAGTTTCTGCTAGGCCTTCCTAACCAAAGCCATTTTAAAGATGCAGGGCCCAGTCCCACCCTTCCTGGGCCAGGCTGTGCCTGTGGCTTCATGGGCAGCAGGAAGGCAGGTGTGCCCGGAGGAGCCAGGAACACAGGAGCACGTGGGGCCACACTCCCACCTGCCTGCCATTCTAGCCTGAGCTTTCATTTCTCACTGTTCAACTGTCCTCAATAAAGCAGGCTCCTCGCCACTAACAGGTACAAGAAAGCAGGGATGGGGCTGGGGATGTGGCTCAAGCAGTAGCGCGCTCGCCTGGCATGCGTGCGGCCCAGGTTCGATCCTCAGCACCACATACCAACAAAGATGTTGTGTCCGCCGAGAACTAAAAAATAAATATCAAAATTCTCTCTCTCTCTCTCTCTCTCTCTCTCTCTCTCTCCTTTCTCTCTCTTTTTAAAAAAAAAAAAAAAAAACAAGAAAGCAGGGATGTGGGCAGAAGCAGCCCAGCCGAGCTGTCTGTGCACAGTGGAGCAGGAAAGGGGAGCCTCCTGTGCCAGATGCCCTGTAAACCACTTTGGGGTGAAGCTCCCTAAACCCACAAATATGCCACGGATGAGGAGAAAGGAGGCCTTGCAGCCCAAGGGGTAGGACTCAAGACCTGACCACACCACCAGGCTACAGGCACTGGCCCACAATGACTCCACACTGCAGGAGGGGGAACTGAGGCCCAGAGGGTGGCACCACTACACAGGTGGTCACTGCCACCCTGTGCCCAGCCTCCATGTGTTTTAACATTAGCAAGGAGAATGAGGCAGCCTGTCCCTTTTCCCAGCCCTCAGCTGTCATCAGGACACCAGCTCCACCACTTGGAAGCTTTCTGCCTGGCCTCCCTCTAAGCCCTGGGTGCCCATGTGGCCACAGGATGATGGGCAGCCTCTGCCAGCATGTGCCCAGGCTGCTGCCCCCAATTCCCAGACCATGCTGCAGTAAATCGCCTGGTCTGCAGACTGGCTCAGGACCAGTCCCGGTGTGGTCAACGTGGTACTGGCCCCACTGGCACTGCCCTAGGCCTGAGCCCTGTTTTCCACAGGTGACCTGCCTGTGACACCCTCAGGTTCTCCCACCCACTGGATCCCTCCACCCCAATGCAAACACCTGGGCATGAGGCCCTGCTGAGGAACAGCCGTGCCCACAGCACATGGTTACCTGCTCCTGAACACCTCAACCCAACAGTCTGCGGCCAGCTCTCAGGCCACTCCTGTCACTCCAAAGTGGCCAGGTTTCAATTAACCCACATGTGAGAGAGCAGGAAGAGGAAAGGCAAAAGGCAGGGGCACTCTGAGGCTCCCAGGACAAGCTGCCATCAGTGGTGGGACTCTGGGCCTAGACCCTGCCGGTCACCCCACCCAGGGGAAGGAAGACACTCCACGCCTTTGCCTTTGTGGGGCTGCATGGACCCACTTCTGCTCCAGGGCTGTGAACTTTACCTTGCACATGTGAGCTCTAGCAGGCGCTGCTCAGCGGGAAATCCGCGGCCTCCTAAGCTCAGAGATGCTATGACAGGAGGGTATCGCAGAGAGAGCCGGGGGCCATGCCTCATCAATCCTCCCAGAACAGACACCTCAGCAGAATCCTCCTTGACACAGCTCACTTCCGGTTTATGAAAAGCTGACCCCGGGGTGGAGCCATTCATAGATCACGGGGTGGGCTGTGTGGCTCTACACGAAGGACCTCACCAGTGAGACCCCGTGCACAGGAAAGGGATCCAACATGCCTCATTCTGGCCCCAGAGAAGACTAGGGATGAGCTGGACACAGGCCGCCAGCACTGGTTGTCCCCTCCCACTCGCCAGATGCACTGCGAGCTGAGCACATTTCCCTGGAACAAGCAGACATCGGTGAGCGTCCAACTCCAAAAATAGTGCCACCAGGAAAGGAAGGAACACACTCTTCTAGCTGAGACCTGCCCCTGCCCTCAGACGTCTCCCTGCAAGGCCCCTGCCTGGCCTGCGCAGCTCAGCTGCCACACCCTTTCTGAAGGGAGAGACATCAGAAGAGAAGAGCAAAACCAGGCCGCTTCTGCTGACAGAACGCAGAAACCACACGCCGCCCCTCGCCAGGGAGACCGACCCAGGAAGCCCTTCTCGGGGACTTTCAGGCCTCTGGTATCTTACATGGAATCTGTTCTACAGAGAGCACTTGCCCCAAGCTGAGAAAGCTCTGGAAGGCTCCCCAAGACCACCCTCAGTCCAGGGTGAGGTATCCGTGGCAGACACCAACCCCACAGTATGACTACAGAGCAGAGGCCGAAGGAACAAGGGACTGTGGTCAGGGCCCAACAAGAACCAGTTACGGGCCCCACGACCCACTCCAAGGCAAAGACATGGAACCTACATCCCCAGGAGTGGAGGGGACCAGGACACCAAGGCTTCCTCTAAGCTGCAGCTGATCCCAACTCCACAAGGGTCATGCACATTGGCCCTTCCCACCCAGGCTGTGCATGACTGGGCTTTGTTTTCAGTTCCAAAGGTCACAAACAAAAAAGGCCAGGCCCACTGGAAGCTAAGCCAGGCTCTTTGCTGAAGCTGAGAAAAGCTCCTGGAAAGCCATGGGAGTGGCACTCAGGGTGGGAAGCATTTTGAGTCTTCAGGAGATCCAGGTGGGGGTTGGCAGCCAGGAGGGTTGTGAGTCCCAGAGCAGACACCCTTGGACTCCAGGACTAACCTCATCTTTTATTTTGTTTTTTGCAGGATACAGACTGAAACAGGGGTACTCTACCACTGAGCTACATTGCTAGCCTTTTTTCTTTTGAGAAGGGTCTCACTAAGTTGCTGAGGTGGGCCTTGAACTTGTATTTCTCCTGTCTCAGCCTTCAAAGTATCTGGGATTACAGGAGTGCGCCACCACACCTAGCCTTTCTTCATCTTTGCCAACCACAGGACCAAGGCTAATCATCACCTAGACTTCCTGCTGATAAAATGAAGGGGCCAGAACAAAGGGACCCCAAGTTTCAGTCTGGCCCTGAACAACAGCAAGGCCTCCCAGAGGTGTGGTCTCAGCGCAGGGGCTAACACTCCAGACCAACAGCTGAGCAAGTTCTGGTTCGGGCTTTATGGGGCTGTTCCAAGTGAGCAGCTGTGTCCCAATAAAACTTTATTTACAAAGACAGATGGTGGGCTTGACTGGGCCCTTGCCCTAGGCACTACAGCTGACACTGGAAAAGCTGAAGTAACAGTCCGCATTGTCAGTGCCTGCAGCCAGCCCTGCTCGGCCCGCTGGGCAAGCTATGTCTGAACTCCTTGCTCAGAAATGACAGAGGATCTTCCCCACAGAGGTGCTATGACAGGAGGGGTGAGAGCAAGCAGGGCCAGGGGTCACAGGGCATCGGTGCCAAGCTGTAGGCCACAGCTTCCCCAGGCCCCTTCAACTCTACCACTAAGCCATGGGAATACTGCTAGTGGGAGACGCAGTCCTGGTCCTGGGAACGAAATTTTGGAGAGGACAAGAGCAGGAGGCACCTCTTGGGCTCCTTACCCTCAGTGGCTCTGTCTGGAGAGGAGACACACCTGCCACTCAGGCTGCCCTGATGCTACAGTTATCATCATCTCACTCTGGGACCTGAAATCACTCCCTCTGGATGAGGGGAGGGGAGCCCCCACAACAGGTCCACAGCAGAAAGCTGGATCTCTCCTAAAGGTTTAAAAAAAAAAAAAAAGCAGGGGAACCTCCCCATCCACACTGGCCAGTAAAGGAGACCATCCTGAGCCCTCTGGGTCCCAGAAGACAACACCCCCACCAGGAAGGGCAGTGTGAATGGGTGGCTGCCCCCACCTGTCAGCCAAGAGGCCCCCCTCAGATCAGCCTAGCCTGGACTGAGGCGCTGACCCCATGTTTCCAAGGAGAGTGCAGGTCACATGGTGGCTGACATATGCACACACATGTGCACAAGCACTCACCTCCCCTGATTAGAGGCCCCGCTCCTCCCAGCAGTCAGTAGGTGGCTTCTGCCCACAGGATCCCAGGAAACCTCACTGCTCCTGCTCTCTCTCTCCCACCTTCACCACCGCAGGGTCAGGCCAAGGGCAGGAGCTGGGGCAAAGGCCAGCCTGCCCAGTACCCCCCAGTGGGCAGCACCTGACCTTTGAGGTGTCCAGATTGCTTCCTTGCAGGAAGAAAGCCCATCTTCCACAAGTGTTATCTTTTTTTCTTTTTAAATACACTTTTTAGTTGTAGGTGGACACAATACCTTTATTTTATTTTTATGTGGTGCAGAGGATCAAACCCAGTGCCTCACATGTGCTAGGCAAGCGCTCTACCACTGAGCCACAAGCCCAGCCCCGACAAGCGTTCTCTTTTTCCCCTACAGTGCTGGGATGGAACCCAGGACCTGTACACGCCAGGCAAGTGCTCCACCACTGAGCCACACCCTGGTCATCTTAACAGTTATCTTTTTCCATCTTTTTTTCAGGGGTGGGGAGCAGTTACTGGGTATTGAGCCCAGGGGCATTTTATCACTGGGCTACATTCTAGCTCTTATTTATTTATTCATTTATTTTGAGACAGGGTCTCACCAAGTTTCTCAGAGCCTCACTAGGTTGCTGAGGCTGGTCTCAAACTTTGATCCTTTTGCCTCAGACTCCCAAATTGCTAGGATGCCAGGCATGGGCTACCATGCCCAGCACAACAGTTAGCTTTGTGTGAGTGTGGTACTGAGGATGTAATACTGGGGACTGACCTTGACCACTGAGCTACATCACCAACCCTTTCCATTTTTTATTTTGAGATAGGGTCTCACTAAGTTGGTGAGGCTGACCTCAAACTTGAGATCCTTCTGCCTCAACCTCCTAAGAGCTGGGATTTATAGGTATGTGCCACTGTGCCCAGCACAACAGTTATCTTTCAATTCCACTTGGGACACAAAGAACTAAACTCATAAAAGCAGATTTTGCTCTCAAAAGAGATGTGGCCTTAGGACCTGCAAGGTGGGCCCTGCCCCTTCTTGAATCTTTAGGACCTTTGGCTGGTTGGGTGTCCCACCCTGCCAGACTCAAGAGATAGCAAGGGGCTGTGAATAACTGGGCCAAGGCTAAGTTACCCTTTTTCCCTCCCCACAGGTTCTCCAGGACACCCAAGTGCATCTTAACCTTCTCTATTTAAACACACTTGCATCCTGGTACTGGGCTCCACATGCGGTCCTTACAGAAGTAGGACACTGTCACTGTCTTCTCCACTTCTCTTCGCATCCACTCCAGAGTCAATAAAGGGCCCTCCATGCCCCTGCTTCTCAGTTGGTTCCAGGTGATTTTCCTTAACACTCTCCTTCAGACGTGACCTGAAGTCAGCCAAGCTCACCTCCAGCATGGGCACCAGCATCCCCCATCCCATGGTAGCTGTGGTCAGGGTCTTTGTCACCTGCAACCATACTATCAGTAGGAGCTGAAGCCAGTCTCACTCACCCCAGCATGTGACTCCCAGCATCCTTCAAGGGAAATGCCTCCTTATGATGACTCTTTTCATAAGTATTTAGAAGAGTCACAGGACCAGCAAGAGCAGTGACTTGGGGAAGAACACACTCAAGGAAAGGACCACCCAGCTGAACCCTGATCTCTCCATGTGAAGAGAGCAGGATTAACCCAGGGCTTTCATCACCAGCAGCACCTTAGTTTCTCAAAAGCTCCAAGGCAGGCTGAGCTGCTCCAGGCAGCCTGCGACAGAGATGCCTAAAGCCCACTGGGAAGCAGTGACAAGAGGGCTGTCACTAAGGCCCTCCCCCTGGTCTTCCCTGCACCTGATGAGTACATCACTCACCCACCTGCAAGGCTGACTCAGGGTGACCTAGGCAAACCCTCCATTCAGCCGAAGACCTTGGCAACGCTGTCCAGTGCACCCACAGTCCAGTAATTGCCTCTGGGCTAGTCAACACCAGTGCAATCGGGAAACATGGTATCCAACTGCTCCTCAGCAAAAGATGCAATCCAAGACTGGCCATATCTGTCAAACCCACCTTCAAACTGCACATATGAGGACCCCTGCAGGAACTCAGGACGTCCACACTCTGCAACAAAGGCAGCAGCTCAGAAAGACCGGCTCACCCACAACCTACTCCACACAGCTTCCACCTCAACAGCAACGACACACCCGTCATGGACACACCAGGGCTCTCTGATCCTCGGCAACCACTCCAGAGCTGCCATCGGCATATCTTTCAGCCCTGCAGAAACCCCGCATCTCTCACTGAAAACCCCAGATCAAACATCACAACAAAGCCGACTAGGTCAAGACCTTCACCCACATAGCCAGCAAAAGCCAACATCAGAAATGTCCACCTCCTCCAACCAGACACAGGCAACTTCCCAAATGCCTCCCACATTTGAACCCTTATCCAGTCCCCAGGTACCATCCCAGCTAAGGCCCTCAGAGCCTCTATCCACAGCCTCCTCCAGCCTCCCTGCCTCCCACCTGGCCCTTCCTGACCACACAGCCATCCCCACCAGAGCCAGAACACATCCTGGAAGCAAATGCACAGCAATCACAGCCTCCCAACTCCACCCAGCGATGAGCAGTCATGCCAGGCCTCTGCCTGCGCCAGCCTCCCCAGGGCAGCCCCAGCCACAACTCAGTGCATCTGTGCACCTCCACCTCAGGAAATGGAGCAGCCTGTCCCAGCATCCAGAATGACCAGGACATAAAAATGATCTACGAATAGAGACCTCTTAGGATCCAAACCGTGTGGAAGACATAGCCATTGAAAAGTAAAATTTGGGGGGCTGGGGCTATAGCTCAGTGGTAGAGCGCCTGCCTTGCATGTGTGAGGCCCTGAGTTTGA